CGTTTTCCAGTATAAAATTTACATATTGTGTTTTATGTTGGTAAACCTGTAACAAATTCAAGTTCATATCTCCTTTAATATCATGCAGAATATTGTCTAAATCATTACAAAATAAATTTAAATTGGTATCTGACGGCCTATACACTGCTATTATTTTGATGTTGTCATAAAGAATTGTAATTATTAACTAATTGCATTTGTTGAAATATTTATTTAGTTCAACTTTATACTTTAAGTGGTTCTTTATATATATTTATACTCCTCCGCCCCTTGTTGGTCTACAGCTGTGCTCGCCCTTACATCCAGGGAGTGAAAAAAGTTCGATTTCCGATTCATAAATCCACGTTTCTATTACAGTTATTTGAGGTTCACCATGTATGTGAGTTAATGCCTCGACTTGCCCAAGTTTATTCCTTAAACTTCTAATATCAAAATATAGAATCTTCAGATTTAACGAGAACTCGATCAAAAAATAGTATAATATAGTTTTGACTATGTTAAATTAATAGGTAGTAAATAAGTAAGTTTTTACCCAATTTTCTTATGGTAGGTTCTCTCTTCTGTTTTCTTCAAAAAGACTTTCCCATAGCCATAGTAGCAGTATTTGTACTTTTTTTCAGTTTCAAAATCTCTTGCCATTTTGAATAGTTCTTGATTTGCTTTTGTCACGTCATGGTCAATATATGTCTGCTTGTTTGCTCCTATAAAACCACAGTGTCTAGTAGTAATACTTCTAATCTGCTTTCGTTTGTGCATTATTTCCAGTTTTGTCTCTAAACTTCTACATTTTATTAGTATTGGCATTATTTCGATTCGTGTTTTGAGTCTGTAGCATCCAGCAATGTCTTCGGTCTTTAATTGTAGCCCCAGTCCTTGGAAGAGATCGAGAACAATTTTTTCCACAGTTTTGTTTGCTTGATGAAGTATTCCAGTTACTACTAAGTTATTTTTCTTTTCTATCTGTTCTTGAGTGTTTAATTCTTCTTCTAGTTTCTGAATACGCTGTTTAAAGTCTGTGTTTTCACGTTCCAGTCTCCTATTTACAGATAAACATTCTGCGTAGGCCTTCTGTTGGTCATCAAATTTATCAGACATAAAGTTGATGCTATAGCTTGCAAATCCTTCATTTCTGCGTCGTACTTTTGAGTAATTTTTGCTTCAAATTGCCTGAATGCGTTTACAAACAGTTTCTCGATCTCAATTAGAAGTGATTTGAACATTTTTTTAAATTCTTTTGGCGTAGGTACTAACCTCACTCATTGACTGCTTATTGCAACAAATTACAGAATTGTCCTTGTTTAACACTTTATACTGTAGACCACAACTTCTATGATATGAGGATTGGCAAATCGAACAATCAAAAGAGTCCTTAAGTTCTTTTTTGCAGAATTTACAACGCTTTTATAAATTATTTTGAGACATCGGAAATTTGCATGTGTTTACTATAACATAACCTCACTCTTTATTACATATTATATTATGGGAAAGTCTATACGCGGATGAATAAAGTTGATTTTGCTCATTTCAGTTAAAGAAAATTGCTCGAAACATCATCAATAAACGACAAAAATATGTTTACTTTGTTTTTCTCGATAGTTTCAGATTCTTTGGAAAGATAAACACATGTGTCACAAGAATATTTTTTTGATGCTCCATTCATTAAATACCCGCAAAAATATGTAAACACAACAGGCTGGAACACGCTCACGCACTCGGCCGCGTTAATTGTCCTAATGCGGGCGAACTGTGCCTATGCGTCTGGAGGCTGGCCCCCTTGCGGAGCCGTGGTTTCGTAGCTTTGAATCGACGACGGGAAGGATACTTACTTACGCATCTGTAATAGGTGATCTGTGCCGTACGCTTATCCCCAAGCCTCAAATATAACTATAAATGACCATTCTTTGCAGAACGTAGAACACTACTCATACCACAGATCACCTACATACAGATGCAAAAGAGCGGTGAATTCGTGGTCTAAGGTTATATGTAAACATAACAGGCTGGAACACGCTCACGCACTATAAATGATCGGACGCGTTAGCGGGAAGGGAGCCGGCTGCCCTGATTCCGTAGCTTTGAATCCTCGACGGCAAGGATACTTACTTACGCATCTGTATTTAGAGGTGATCTGTGCTCATAACTTAGGAGCCATCTATCAGCGAATGCAACCATTGACGCTGAAATCCAACATCACTTGAAGTGTGCTAGCGCGGCGTTCCCGCGACTTCTAGAGAGAGTCTTCACCAATTACAACATCAGCGCTGAGACCAAACTTCGCGTCTACAATGCAGTTGTAATACCTACCAACACTTCCATATGGCTGCGAAACATAGACCACGTACAGAAGATACATAGAAAGCCTAGAAAACTACCACCAGCGATTCCTAAGAAGGATCCTACGAATTAAATGGCAAGACCGACGGACGAATATTAGTGTTTTAGAGGAGGTCAAAACAACTAGCATAGAAGCCTTCTTATCATTAAGCACCAACTTCGCTGAACAGGTCAGCTCGTCCGCATGCCCATAATGCTCCTTCCACGACAGATTCTCTACAGACAACTGAAAGAGGGAAATCGAAATCAGGTAGGTTAACAAGAACGCTACAAAGATGTGCTTAGGACGCATATAATAGAATGCCGCATCGATAACAGCAACTGGGAGACGACGGAAGATGATAAGCCCTCATGGCGTCGAGTAGTCCACGACGGACCACAAACTTTTGAAGAACAGCTACGGAACGGAAAAGAGGGACCGCAGGAAGGAGCGCGAGAACAGAAGACACAATGCTGTCAGAGGGCTCAGAGGCTGGGTGTTCCCAGACTGTGGGAGAGTGTGCGGCTCCAGAAAGAGTTTATAAAGACATCAGAAAACTTACAATCAACGACAATAAGAATATGATAGAACTGATAGAAGATATTCATACTCGGTATCGGGTGATCGCCGATGATAATAATGGATCCAATCAAAAAGAGCGTTCTTCTCAGTTACTCGGGGTAATGGCTTAGCGATCTTAGCAAAGTCCTTCAAAACCCCGAGGTAATGACTTAAGATTCCTAGCAAATTTATTAACTCGTGTGTTTTTCTTTGGTCTGCGCCAATCTTGTACCACCTGGACTTGCTCTGAGTACTTCTCTTTTCCTTTTGAAGATACGACAATGTCACAGGAAGTTCACAACAATAAGTTCCTTAAAGTATAAATTATCTTAGAATAACTTATTTTCATTGCTAATAGCTCACTACCGACAATTTTAAGCTATCCAGATGAAATGGTTTCTAGTAAATTCACGGCGAATGAAAACCACGTTCTAGTATATTAAAAGCTCCTAGCTTCGCCATTCGCTTGATAACGACTAAAAGACAGACTTTTGAGTTTCTCATTAATTGAAACATTACCCACTACCTTCTAAAAACATATTATCTTGTAGTATTCGTTTTAGCTTTGGGGTTTCTGGCAATCAATAATGTTTCCTTATCTTCAATATCATCCACGGTCATAGGAACGAGTTCCACTCTACGACATTCACCTGCGGAACTCATACTTAGGAGTCTTTGAAATTCGTTAGGTATATTAGTAAGTTCTTATTTTATATATTTTTTCTATTCGCTATCGGAAGTAATACGTAAATGTAGTTTCAAATTCTTCTCTTGAAAAGATTTTTGTTTTTTTAGCTTACAGCCGACATAGGATATACCTACTTTTTTTCCATAAACGGTATAAGTTTAAAAAACTTGCCACCTTTGTTTCTGTATACTTAGCACAAAAATTAGTATTAACCAAGGTTAATTAGGCTAAATAAGCTAAAAGAACTTCTTCACATACAGTTATTACGTTGTTTGACCTCCCCAATTCACCTTATCTAATGAACTTTTAATTTTCGTGGCAAAATCCGATTCCATTCTTTCGAAAAGGAAACCAGTTTCAAAAACACTAAAACATCATTTGAGTTATCCAAACAAAAAACGAAGTAAAAAGGCAAGATAGAATCTATACAAGTTCAGCAGTATTTTTCTACATAACAAGAATCGGAGCGAAAAAAGTCAGAGACCGGAAAGAAAAAAAAAACAGGGATTGGAAAAGATTTTGCCGTACCCTGATATCCATTTTCCGGTCTTGGCTGGTAAAACGTTAATTTCTGGCGGAAAAATCTCCAGAAAGAGGATATTTTTTTCTCGGTCTCAGAAAAATTACTTACAATGGTAGAATTTTCTAGTCTAAAATTTATTTGCCAAATAAATTCTACAAAAACAAACAGATAAAAAACTATGTTCTGAAAATCCCACTTTCACATTTGAAAAGAATGCTAATGGTCTCTCGAATATTCTTCTTTTTGATCATCTTCTGGTATAAGTAGTTAATCCACCTAATTTGAGTTTAAGTGTATAACAAATTGAATTGGTTTAGGTATTGACGACAACGGTCATGACATTCGCGACTGTACGAAATTGTGTTTGTAATGGGGAAGACCAAGTTCATTCTGCTCTTTTTTATTTTATTGATTAGTTTTCATAGTGTTTTCTTGAAAAAGAAAAAACTGGTAAGTTTTTTAATTCTTTATATATATTTTTGCTATAAATTTTGTCCAAAAGGGCCTATCATTTATTATAAATACCTAACTCGTAATATTTTAACGATAGCAGAATAAATTGATAAATTGAAATTACTAAAGAAATTACCTAATTTTGATTTATCAATTTATTTACTATTTATACCAGATGATAAATATATCGTCTGATAAAAAATGCAGTTATTCTATTAACAAAGAGAATAATAAAAAAATATTTTTCAAAATATAGTAGTGGTGCGTTAATTTTGCTGGCCAGTGTATTATGCTAGTAGAGCCTCGAGCAACCAGGTAGTTTAAAAATTTGCAATTACTGGCGGAAAAAGCGAATCTATCAGGAGACGTTGACTTCCTTGAACTTAAATCATGGTCAATAACAAAATAGGTATAATTATTGAGGAATTAATTAAGACGCGTGCAGTAGATGAAACGATGAGGCGGCAGTGTGTCGAAATGTTATATATCAGGGAAATTGGCCAACAATGTATTTATTGTTCTGGTGACTTTGAAAGAAGAAACGTTGCGACATAGTCTTGGAAACAATGTTTGAGATCAATAACATTTGTTTATATATTTTTGCATTGGGATATTTACCTTACGTTTTTGGATCGGATTCTGATAGTTTTGGCGATATCAGTTCAGGGGTAAGTCTATGAGGATTAGGCTGAAACAAAAATAATTAGTGAATCTCAAAATGGGATTATGAAATTTCCATCAAAATATATTCCAGATGTTTAATGTTTTTATGTAGATTTTTTCTGGACCGATCCTATATGATAATCTAATTATTGTATTAAGTTTTTGTTTTATTTTATAGGATGGCATTCAAATCAAATTAGACAGCGGTATTCTACAAGGAAACATAAAACGGACTGTAGATGCCAGGAGTTGGTACAATTTCCAGGGTATCCCATATGCAGTACCACCGATAGGAAATTTACGATTTAGGGCAAGTTATAAAAAAAAAGATTTTTTCGATTGAATGGTTTTGTACACAGAGCGCGTAGTTTGTGAGTTGTAGTTAGTTTGAATGAAATAATTGTTGTGTACAGGGTGACTGGTAAGTGGACGTATAACTATTTAAAATTAACGAAATAATAAGGAACGTACCTAATTAAGGTAAATTTTAACACCAATATTTGACAACATTTCTTTTGCAACACTTGGTATCAAAAATAAATCGAGTAGTTTTTTCTTAATATTGGTTACCTAATCTTACCAATAAAACTTATTTATTTAATAATAAAACAAAAAACTAATTCTGAAATAATGTGCCTTATTCTGAAGACAATAAAATCGAGAACTTTTATTAATAATTTGTACGTTTGATGTACCATGAAATTTTCGAAATTTTTATGCATAAAGTAACCATTAGTTTGTAACAAGAAAAGTGAAGTTTAAACCGAAATAATTTAAAAGTTAACATTTTTGTTTCAATAATTTTCAATGCTGATATTTGTGTATGCTAGATCATAATTTGAAAAGCGTTTTCAAAAAAGGGTTATTTTTCTTAATTTTGGGTATTTAAGTACCTCGCAAAGAAGTGAATTTCTGGGAAATTAAACCAAAATAAATATCTCAAAAACCGTTGAGAATGGTATAGAGGTAAATAATGTTCAATCGGTAGCAAATAGGCTCTACTTTCACCTCGTCAAAGGAATACGTCTACTTACCAGTCACCCTATACAGGGTGTCCCACGGTGGATGGCGTATTAGACGTTACTGGAGAACTAAAAAGCCGATCATTTTGAAAATTTGGCAACCGGGATAAACGACCATAATCTACACTTTAAAAATATTTTTGTTTATGCGGTGTTGCCGCTTCTACTCTAAACCAGTGGCAATATCGCTATTTCAAATAGAACACCCTGTATGAGATTGCATATTTGGATTCTACGTAAAATTCTGAACAGATTTCATGTGATATACCCTATACCTAAGTTCAACTGTTTTGGAAATATTGACAGTTAAAAATTGACTTTTTGCAACTTTGACAGGCTGTAAAATCTAAACGGTTAATTTTAGAGGAAAAACGATTTTACATTCCTATCTTAGATTTTCATAAACTATCATTTGACACCAACTTTGAATTTAACAGAAGATTAAATTTAATTAGAATTTTTAATCATGGATTAAATTCAAAGTTGGTGTCAAATGATAGTTTATGAAAATCTAAGATAGGAATGTAAAATCGTTTTTCCTCTAAAATTAACCGTTTAGATTTTACAGCCTGTCAAAGTTGCAAAAAGTCAATTTTTAACTGTCAATATTTCCAAAACAGTTGAACTTAGGTATAGGGTATATCACATGAAATCTGTTCAGAATTTTACGTAGAATCCAAATATGTAATCAAATATAGGGTGTTTTATTGAAAATAGCGATGTTGCCACTGGTTTAGAGTAGAAGCGGCAGCACCGCATAAACAAAAATATTTTTAAAGTGTAGATTATGTCCATTTATCCCGGTTGCCAAATTTTCAAAATGATCGGCTTTTTAGTTCTCCATAAACGTCTAATACGCCATCCACCGTGGGACACCCTGTATAGTTAATTGCAAGCGAAGTGACAATTCAATTTTGCAGATTCAATTAGTTCAGTATCAGATTTTTTTTCCAGGATCCAGTGCCTTTTAAAAAATGGAACGGAATTTTAAACGCAACCAAATTTTCTGCCAGTTGTGTCGAAATCCGTGTACGTCAATCCACTTACAGCGTCAGAGGACAAGAGGATTGTCTTTATTTAAATGTTTATTCTTCACAAGTAAGTCTATTCTAATATTTTTGTAAGATATTGAAGGTCGCGGGATAACTCTTTTGCTAACCTACTAAGAAAAATGTTTAGATAGGTAACTCAGACTTATAGTAAATTAAGTAACGACCTCTCTGCAGGGGGAAACGGTCAGATTCAGGGCTGCCAGGGGCACTCCGCAGGGAGGAGTATTATCTCCGCATCTGTGGTCACTCTTATTAGATGAACTCCTGGCCGTGATACAACTATACAGGGTTGTCTTATGTATGGAAACGGTCTGATATTTCAGAACCGGCTTGAAAAAAAGTCACAATATTTCCTACCTGGGGGTTTTTGGGAATGCCCGATTCAATGGTGATATTTGCAATGTTGCCAAGTTTATCGTTTCTAAGATGCCGTATCTAACTTAATTTTTTTAAATGGATGCCCCTCTATATATTACTAAAACTCTTAAATCCCAAAACTCCATTCGACTTGAGTTTTGAAATATGGCAATACAGATTTTTTGTTGAAAATGTATGGAAACAGTCTCGTATTTAGAAAAGACTTTAGCAAAGGTTGGTGAGACTCTAATCCGCACTGAATGGTGGAGACACACACACAACGACCACAAAAAGTTAACGTTTGGTGCGGGATCCTTGGAGATTGCATAATAGGGCCATACTTTATCGAAGGAAATTTAACTGCTGAAAACTATTTACTTCTGTTGCAACGTCAAATTATTCCTAGGGTCCGGCACTTATTTCCCAATAACGAAAATCCAAATCTACCAGCTGAAAGTACACTTCGCATCAAAATTAACGCACCACTAAAATTTGGCACAATTTCAAATTTAATTTTCTCGGAAACTGCTGAATCGATTTGGACATATTTTTTTTTAATTGTAGCTTAAATCTTCAGGAATGACTCTGTAAAACAACTTTTCATTTGAATCGAAGTTTTAGGCATATACAGGGTGTTTTAAAAGAAACCAGTTTGATGCCTAATTTTTGTCACATCCTGTGGGACTTTCCATCTGCACCAATAGATGTCTATCTAAATCAAAACATAGCCCCATCTTTTCTGAGCATTTTGTTTTTTTATTCACGTTTCTAGCTCTGTTATTTAATGAAATATGGAGTTTGAAGTTAAAAGCGTTTATTTGAGATTATTCAAGAAAAAGTTTCGGAAGTTAACAAAACAAAAACAAAATTATTGAAAAAATAATGTGGAAAAAAGAAGAAAGAAGAAGAAGAAGAGTTATAACCGTCAGGTAAGTAAATCTAAGTAGGCCATGGAAAACAAAGGCGCGATATTGTCATGGAAACAGAGACTACTGTCTTTATCTGTCAGTGATTTTTGAATTTATTCTGTAATTTCTCTGCATTTGGTGTTATCATTGCAAAATATGGAGCGTCAAACAAGAAATTTAACTCGAGATGAATGTGTGATGGCGACTACATTGATCCAGGAAGGAATGGGCTACCGAGCTGTAGGTAGAAGATTGGGTGTTTCTCATTCGACAATATTGCGCATATTTCGCCGTTTTGAAGAAACCAATGACCACAACAGGCGCCGTGGACAAGGAAGAACTCGGGGAACAGCGGCTATCCATGACCGATTTTTGCAACTGAATGCGTTGAGGCAACGTTTTGTGACCTCAAGACAACTAAGGGTACAATTAAATACTGCTCACAATATCAACGTTAGTGTATCAACTGTAAGGAGACGTCTGGCAGAAAGAAATTTAAGGTTCAGAATTCCAGCAAGAGGACCAAGGTTAAATGCAGACCATATACGAGCAAGACTTCAATTTGCCAGGGAACATGTAAACTGGAATGCTGAAGATTGGGAGCGAGTTCTCTTTACAGATGAGACAAGGTTTTGTCTTTACAGCAACGACCGACGAGTAAGGGTTATTCGACGACCAAATGAACGTTACTCGCAGTGTAATATTCGCCAAACCGAGTTATTCAATGGAGGGTCTGTGATGTTTTGGGGCGGAATCTCTTTAACTGCTCGTACTGACATCGTGTCTTTGCGTGGAGGACCTTTAAATAGTGCAAGGTACATCACGGAAATTTTGTCAGAGCATGTGGTCCCTTTCGCTGGGTATATTGGGGATAACTTTTTACTAATGCAAGATAACGCCAGACCACACACTGCGAGAATAGTGCGAGATTATTTGAATGAGGTGGATATTGAGACTCTGGACTGGCCTTCACGCAGTCCAGATCTCAATCCTATAGAACATTTATGGGATCAAATTGGTAGGCAGCTTAGAGATCATCAACCCCTACCTGTGTCTTTGAATGATGTAGAAAACTTTGTTCGAGAAATTTGGATTAATATCGATCAAGAACAAATAAGACGTCTGGTTCAAAGTATGGGTCGTCGATGTCAAGCGGTAATAGAGAGTAGGGGAAGAAACACCCGATATTGAATGTTTTTTTTTTTCCACATTATTTTTTCAATAATTTTATTTTTGTTTTGTTAACTTCCGAAACTTTTTCTTGAATAATCTCAAATAAACGCTTTTAACTTCAAACTCCATATTTCATTAAATAACAGAGCTAGAAACGTGAATAAAAAAACAAAATGCTCAGAAAAGATGGGGCTATGTTTTGATTTAGATAGACATCTATTGGTGCAGATGGAAAGTCCCACAGGATGTGACAAAAATTAGGCATCAAACTGGTTTCTTTTAAAACACCCTGTATATGCCTAAAACTTCGATTCAAATGAAAAGTTGTTTTACAGAGTCATTCCTGAAGATTTAAGCTACAATTAAAAAAAAAAATATGTCCAAATCGATTCAGCAGTTTCCGAGAAAATTAAATTTGAAATTGTGCCAAATTTTAGTGGTGCGTTAATTTTGATGCGAAGTGTATTTGGTTTCAGCAAGATGGTGCGCCGGCCGCCTCATTATGGCCGTCGTTTGGATGATTATCTGGACCAAACCTTCCCTGAAAGATGGAAAGGAAGAAGAGAAGCAATTGAGTGGCCTGCTAGGTCTCCCGACATGACCCCCCTGGATTATTTTTTATGGGGACATGTTAAAAATAAAGTTTATGTGGACAGACCCCGAGATAAAGAAGAACTGAAGGAAAAAATTGGCAGCAAAGCAGGAGAAACATTACTGAACACCTTAAAAAATTTCGCTCAGCGAGTACATTATTGCCAAGAAGTGAATGGTGAACACTTTGAGCATCTCGTAAAGTAAGGTTGTGTTTAAGTGTTGTTATTTGTTAATTTTACTGTTGTTAAATTTTGATCATTTTCGTTTCCATACATTACAATAAAAAAGCTGTGTTGCCACATTTCAACAACTAATTCAAATGGAGATTTGACATTTAGGGGTTTTAGTAATGTTGAGACGCTGAATTAATTACAATAAAAATAAAGAGGGCATCTATTTAAAAATATTAAGTTACATACGGCATCTTGGAAACGGTAAACTTGGCAACATTGTAAACACCCTCATTGAATCGGGCATTCCCAAAAACCCAAGATAAGGTAAATTGTACATTTTGCTAAAGCCTGTTCTGAAATACGAGACTGTTTCCATACATTTTAACAAAAAATCTGTGTTGCCATATTTCAGAAACCAAGTCAAATAGAGGTTTGGCATTTAGGGGTTTTGGTAATGTCGAGACGCTGAATTAATTGCAATAGAAATAAAGAGGGGCATCCATTTAAAAAAATCAAGTTACATACGGCATCTTAGAAACGGTAAACTTGGCAACATTGCAAATACCACGATTGAATCGGGCGTTTCCAAAAACCCCGAGGTAGGGAATATTGTACTTGTTTCTGAAGCCTGTTCTGAAATACGAGACTGTTTCCATACATTTCAACAAAAAATCTGTGTTGCATATTTCAAAACCCAAGTCAAATGGAGCTTTGACATTTAGGGGTTTTAGTAATGTTGGGACGCTGAATTAATTTCAATAAAAATAAAGAGGGGCATCCATGTAAAAAAATCAAGTTACATACGCCATCTTGAAAACGGTAAACTTGGCAACATTGCAAATAGGCCCATTGAATCGGGCATTCCCAAAAACTCCGAAATAGGGAATATTGTACATTTTGCTAAAACCTGTTCTGAAATATGAGACTGTTTCCATACATTTCAACAAAAAATCTGTGTTGCCATATTTCAAAAACCAAGTCAAATGAAGGTTTGACATTTAGGGGCTTTAGTAATGTTGGGACGCTGAATTAATTGCAATGAAAATAAAGAGGGGCATCAAATTAAAAAAATCAAGTTACATACGACATCTTAGAAACGGTAAACTTGGCAACATTGCAATTACCGCCATTGAATCGGGCATTCCCAAAAATCCACAGGTAGGAAATATTGTACATTTTTTTTGAGCCCGTTCTGAAATATCAGACCGTTTCCATACATACCGACAACCCTGTATATATCTAGTAATAATAGCCAAGGGTAGCTCCGAGACGAGGATGGCAGCTGTACTCCAAGAAGTGCTAGACCGCATGCTTGATTGGTGTGAAAGGGAAAAAATCACGATAAATCCTCACAAAATGACCATGTACCCTTTATCGGGAAAAGAAAACTCGATAATCTGGTACCCCTGAATATTCGGGGAGAAATATTGCGATTTCCAAATGAAGCAAAGTACCTATCTGATGCTCATTCGAAAAAAGTGAGCCAAAAGGCACTGCCGCAGGATCTGAGGAAGGCAATGAGAACAACCTATCGGCTATAAAATGGTTCAAAAAGCACTTTGGAGGGTGGAAGTGCAATGCAACACACGGTGCATGTGGACGAAATAATCGACACAGCACCCTCAGCATGCCTTCCGACATAATGCCAAAGAAAACCAACTCTGGTTCGCCTTTCAAAGCAATGATTCCCGACAGAGAACTATGGGTCGGCAACAGGACCACGATACTGAAGGCAGACTTCTGCTAGTACACAGACGGCTCCAAAACCAACCATGGAGTCAAAGCATGGGTATATGGTGACTGGTGAGACACCAAGACTGGAAATTTTGACCAGCCTTGGA